TACCGGAATGCGCGCGTGGTAATCGCAACAACAATGTTGCATAGCGTAATCATCGTAAGGGATCTTGTGCTTGCCGGTCTGCTCCAATGCTGCATGTAACATTCCAAACTATAATTAATATCATGTGGTGGTCGTGGCTCTGATGGCTGCGCGTCGGACTCGAGACTCGGGGACCCGAGATCGATTCCCAACACAGACCCAACACTTTTTTTATTCAATTCCAAATATAAATTGGATCGACGATGACGTCATCATACGAATAATGTATAACATGCAGGCGACTATCTATATTTGAATTTTGCGCCATTTGCAGACTTTCTAGACTTGAAGTTCGCGCCGTCGACAAAAGTAGTACAAACGTCTTATCAACCTATATATAGCTTTGCTCGCTGATCCTCTACGATCCCATTTGAATACGGTTTTCATAGTGAAACTTTCATGGCCTCCTGAATGGCTCAGTGTGTATATACGCTGCCTCATAATGCAAAGGTCCCGAGTTCGATCCCCAGCGGTGAAGGTTTTTTTTAAATTTATTCACGATGATGATGCCATGACGTCACACAATTTGAATTTCGCGCCATTTTCAGACTATCTAGACTTGAAGTTCGTGCCGTCGACAAAAGTAGAGGGGTGGGGAATGCTGCTCTCTGATTGGCTAGCCGAGTCACGTGGTAGGGTGGAGGAGTGGGGGTGGTTTCAAGACCGGGACTACCTACTTAGAATCTTTTTGAAATTTTGAGGCTTCCTCAGTCTCTATCCATACTGAATTTTGGCACCATTAAAGCTTACACAGGGGGTTATAAATAAAAACAATTAATACTTCCAACTTCAACATCCTGTATCTCAAAATCGGAGCAAGTTAGAACACATGTTTATATAAACTTCATTCGCTAGAATGTCACAACGAAACACCCCTTGAATTTTTTCGGTGTTATTTAGATACACCCTGTATAACTAATGCTTTTTCATATACTTATTGTTGGTGTTACTTTTGTTACTTACTACTCTGCTTACAATCGTGGCGGGCACAAACGCTGTGATAATGTTGTAAATATGCACTTTTATTGTTATTACAGGAACAATAATCCTATGTACATAGTACTCACATCATTTCAGAGAACCAAAATAGAGGATTCAACAAAATAGTAAAATATACATACACCGGCTATTTGCCACACCAAACATTAAATTATATCCTAATATATCACTGATACGAATCATGTTTGCAAGTTAAAATCACATCATGATCAGATTTTATACAAGCATACTTCAAAATGAGTATTGTGATCAGTTTTGATTGTCATACTATTTCGGTACCAATCAAGGTAATTGATCACCCTTCCTTCATGTAACTAAACGATAATTACATACCATGTACAAAATATTCAATAATATTGACATTAAAATGTTAATACGCAATATTTGGGAAAAATGAATTAAATCGCTTGATTCTACACCACTGGTACACAATAGTATCTAGGGTGTATCATCAAAAACTGTATTTTGCTGTATTGTTGTTATTGTATCAAGTTTCATTTATATCGAAAAACTCGTTATGAGAATAGAGGGATCACCCCAATCCTGAAAAATGCATTCCTTTCACACTGTATCCTAATGGCACCCATTCACATACAGGCGGCCTGCAGGCCGATATCACCACAGGCACACTGTCCGACGACAGGTCCAGACCTGCAGGCAATCGAAACCCATTGAAATCGCATTGTGTGTGTCCATTTATCGTCAGTCCGTGACTGAAGGTCTGAACTTCAATAATTCAGTTTGAAATTTGCCTCAACGATTTGGAATATTTCAAACAGTTTCGATGAAAATGAGTGAAAAGGGATGCAACAAACCTGAATTTATAACAGGTTTGATTGATATACAGGGTCGCTGATATGTATGGAAACAGGTGAATATCTCGGCAATATGTTGTTAGATTTTTTTGAATTTATGTACAGTGTGATTTCAAAACGTGGCGGATTTGAAAATGTTATAGCCTCTGTTGCCACTTCTTCAGTTATTCCGGATTTTTAGTAACTTCCTTATTTTGAATGAAACACCCTGTACTTTATTGGATTTCCAGATTCTCCTTGGAGAGCTGATTCCATCGATCTATCACACTTGGGGTCGAGCGGGAATGATTACATAGGTATAGGGTGTTTAAAATCTAGGTTTTTTAACTTCAAGATTTTTTTGTGTAGAAACTATCCATTATCGATCAAAACCGCTCCAATGTTCCTATCTTCACTTTCGATTTACCATCTACTGACTATTTAATTGGAACAGATACAGAGGGTGATCAGAATTCTGAATCTTGAACCACCCTGTATTTGTTTCAATTAAATGTCAGTAGATAGTAAATCAGAAGTAAAGATGGGAACATCGAAGCGGTTCTGATCGATAATGAATAGTTTCGACACAAAGAAATCCTAAAGTTGAAAAATCTAGATTTTAAACACCCCATACCTATGTATTCATTCTCGCTAGACCCCAAGTGTGATAGATAGATGGAATTAGCTCTTCAAGGAGAATCTGTAAATCCAATAACTTACAGGGTGTTCCATTCAAAATAAGGAAGTTAATAAAAAATCCGGTATAACTGAAAAAGTGGCAACATTGGCTACAACATTTTCAAATCTGCCACGTTTTGAAATCACACAGTACATAAATTCGAAAAAATCCAATCACAGGTTACCGAGATATTCATCTGTTTCCATACATATCAGCGACCCTGTATATAGAATTCATCCATGTTTATGGAAGATAAAATCAAAATTTTATTCAAATAGACAATTGCGCGATAAAGCATATGCATCGTTGTTGCATTATTATAAAGGTGTTGATAAGAATGCAACAATAGATACGGTAAAAAATAAAATCAACAATCTCAGGAGTTCCTTTAGAAAAGCCTTTAGAAGCTGCGTCCTCTGCAGTAATTGCTTCTCTCATCCTGGTATTCCTCTTCGATATGAATGGTTTCACTAATCTTAATAGTTTTCGGAAACAGTTATTATCCATACGAAGATAATTCTACAAATCATCTGTACCAGATATACGAAGAGTTTCAATTAATTGCATGTGTGACAAATTGTCTCTTTCAAGTAGCCAATCTTTCACCCATAGCCAATCTTTCACCCAATATCGCTTTCTTTGACGAAGTGGTCTCTCTAATAGTAATAAAACTATTAATAAAGACGCTATTTTTTTCCTTTTTTCGGAAGTGATCATATTTAATAATTTTTGACGTATTTTGTATCACTGTCTTCGGACGCTTCAGATCAACTGGACTGACGTGTGTAGTGAAATATGAGTACGCCTGCAGTCTGCGGCCTGTCCGGCCGAAACCTGGAGGCCTTATCTCTCAGGCGGACTGAATAATGTGTTGCCTCAATCAGGTCACCGACTGCCGACTTGATCGACAGTCCATGGCCTGAAAGCGGCCTGTACGTGAATGTGAAGTTATGTGTTCATAATATTCTTGTCTTATTTTTTGTCAAGTAATCTTCCATCAAGTGATGTCTCATGTTTTTTTAAAAAACTCCATACAGGCTGACTGACAAAAAACGCCCCGATCCGTAACGCCGCTATTTATTATCCGATTTCAAAAAACATAGAAGCAAATGAAATGACTCATGAGATACAACAAGGTGGCACTAACAATTTCTTAATCCAATTTCAACTATAACGACACCCATTGTCAACTTTTTTTTTTTTTTCAAATGGCATTGTATTTTTTCTGAATACAATGATGTATCACACTTGAGGTCTAGCGGGAAAGATTACAGAGATATAGGGTGTTCAAAATCGAGATTTTTCAAGTGTAGGATTTTTGTGTGTCGAAACTATTCATTTTTTGTCAAAACGGCTTGCATGTTCCTATCTCAACTTTTGATTCACTATCTACTGACTTTTAGTTGGAACAAATACAGGGTGGTTCAAGAATCAGAGAATTCTGATCACCCTGTATCTGTTCCAATTAATGTCAGTAGATAGTAAATCAAAAGTTGAGATAGAGACATGTGAGCCGTTTTGACCAATAATGAATAGTTTCGACACAAAAGATCCTAAAGTTGAAAAATCTTGATTTTGAACACCCTATATCTCTGTAATCTTTCCCGCTAGACCGCAAGTGTGATACATCGTTGTATTCAGAAAAAAAATTAAAAAATATACAATGGCATTTGGAAAAAAAAAAGTTGACAATCGGTAGTTATAGTTGAAATTGGAAAAAAATTTGTTAGTGCCACCTTGTAGTATCTCATGAGTCATTTCATTTGCTTTCTTGCTTTTCAAAATCGGATAATAAATAGCGGCGCTACGAATCGGGGCGTTTTTTGTCAGTCAGCCTGTATATTCAACTACGGAATAGCCACAATGCTCAAAGTGGAATGCAATGTTGAATAAATACAAAAGTCATATCCACACATTTGTTCATAAAATGAACAACAATGGTTGATTTCGGGAGAAAAACAACTACTTTCCTGGCTAATGCCACGCAGAACATTGAATTACATCCTCCCGAAATATATGCATCGATTCGTATAAACGAATGCTGATAAAAATGATTATTTCCTTAATGGCTATTGATTTCGATTTAGTCAGGCCAAGCTATACACCTAGAGACCAGTTTCGAGCTCTTTGACTCTCATCAGTGCAGGACACTCTCCAGGCAGCATTCCTAAGACCGCCAACTAAGCGTAGCCTAGCCAAACAAGAATCAAGTCAGCATTATATTTCCCCAGAGGCGTCCTTCATAGACAATATGAAAGCAACGAAATCGAAATCAATAGGCATTCAGGAAGATTCACTTGTATCAGTATTCCTGCATAGGAGTCGATGCATAGATTTCGGGAGACTGTAATTCAATGTTCTGCGTGGCATTAGCCAGGAAAGTAGTTGTTTTTCTTCCGAAATCTACCATTGTTGTTAATTTCATGAACATTGTGTGGATATATGACTTTGAGCGTCTTGTATTTATTTTACTCTATATATTATTTCAGACTTACGTGAGAATATTATTGACACCACTGTATGAAGAGCTGGGGAACGAACCAAAAGAGGGCGAGAGTGACGGAATAGCTCATCTGAGAAGTTCTTCGAAGGTATTCTTGTGCCAGGCTGGATACAAGCCATGCATCGAGGAAGCACAAGAGGCTTTCAAGAAGTGGATGGAATCACCAGACCCGGATGAGGGAAACCCGTGAGTATATATCTTGTAGATAAATATTCCAGCGTATTGATTTTTCAGATTTTTTTGGATTTTTTTCCTCGTTTCTATAAGATGAAAAAAAAAAAGTATCATATTAATATATGATAATGTGAAACATTACGACACTGACTTCGGTTTCGTAATGAGACACTTTACCGCAGCCCACACAGCACATGACATCCATGGGAAGTCCGATTCAGGTCCACTTCAAATCCAAACGTCCATGGACAGAATGGACATTCAATGTACGTTCAAACATGGATGATCATTGAATGCTTCAAATTATATGTAAATAGACGGTTGATGCCCTTCAATTCTAACGAATCTACTACCCACCGAATTCTTAAAAAAAACACCTTCTTCATAGGCTCACATAGGTACTTTTTTATTCGTCTCACGCCTGCTAGACGTAATGTTGATAACCTGAATATTATACAGTTTTCATCTAGTTTTGGATAAAACATAATACATTAGGTATTGATTGGTGTTTGTGATTCAGAACATCATTGTTCGAGACTTCCATTTTTCCTATTTGCATAGGTGAGTAGGTTTTTATTTTCGACCTCTCATACAATATACAATACCTACTATTGTGTAGGTAGCATATCGTTCTGACATTCTCATGTAATGGGTTCATGACCTTGCTAGCAAATGAGCAAAACGATAGAGTTTAACTGCAATCAATGTTTCATCAGAGACCTTCCCCAAATCATTCAATTCACGGAAATTCTATTAGGATGGCAAAAGGACGATAGCAATAGAACCTACCATTTATTCACTCCTTTTGAAGGCGTAATGTGTGTTTTTACTACCAAGGTAGTTTTCATCATTTTATGAACCACTAGTCAATAAAAGCATAGCCAACTCTGCCATAATTAACCCGAATTCATTGTTCTGATCCGACATTCACAAGAATGGCACTCGAATCGAGTAGGTATTTATCAACAACGACTCGTCATATGGTCATATGCTGTCATCCTGACTAGATTTTAATTGGAAATGAAAAGAAGTGCTTTCATAGTGACATAGGTCCACATTTCAGTTTCATAGTTCTGTTTTGATTGGAATATATTATTTATACACCAAAGTAGTAAATACTATCATTATTACCCAGGGACCAAAATTATAACCCGAGGCTCCAGCCGAGGGGTATAAGGCTCCGTTGTAATAATATTCTTTACTACCAAGGTTTATGAGCGTCGCCCTAGCTTCTCAGGTAAGGCTCTAGCCGTTCGATATCTGAAGTTACTTGGATGGGTTACCATTCGAGGAAACGCCACGTAAGCCCGTACACCTGTAGCGGAATAGTATATCAAAGCTACAGCTACCATATTAATGAGCACAAGATATGGTACCGATATGCTGTCCTTCGGAGGGGACGTTGAGCCGGCGGTCCCGAGGCCATGGATGTTGGAGTCGTTAAAGATCCCTACCTCTGGTTGGACTACCAGGCAAAACTTTCCGGTTGGGGGTAAAGGGTGCTCACGGGCGTCGGTGATTAGTCTCAGTAGCAGAAAAAGGCCGACGTTAAAGAAACAAGTAAAAAAAAAACAAGGTTTATATATATATATATATATATATATATAAGTCCTTACAATCTGTACGCTATTTCTCGAATCACAGCGCTACCACCTACAGCGGACACTACACAGCCTACTGCAGACATCTATATGCGAAAATTTGGCACGAGTGCAATGATTCTCTTGTTTTTTCAATTTCGACGAATTCTCTCGTCAGTGGGGATGCTTATATTCTTTTTTACCAACAAGAGGCTCACCCCAAATACGAACAACGTGATGGTGACTCTGTGAAGGGCTACTCCTCCGTAGCTGATCTCGATAGCACCCTTCGTACTGTTCACTATTCCGCTGTTAACCATAATATGTTCAACACAGTCGTGGAGAAGCAAGAAACTCCAGTCTACCCAGCTCCAGCTGCACACTCTGCCCCAGTACAGAACGTATACTCTGTCCAAGTACAGAATGTATACTCTGCCCTAGTTCACAATGTATACTCTGCCCACTTGTACATGCTTCCTCCAGTACGTGCAGCCCAGTATGTGCACGCTGCCCCAGCCGCTCAATCTGCCCCAGTTCACTTGTGGAGTGAATGAAGTGAAAATACATTATTTATTTATTATGTTATGTTTATATGTTCATTCAATTTGAAATGAAGAATATTTTTCTCACCACTAGCAATTTACTTCAATCATTTTGGTTTTGTGAAATCGGAATATGGACCCATTGTCACTATGAAAGCACTTTCTTCAATAATCGGCCATCACCATGACACATAACAAGTCGTTATTGCAAAATATCTAATAGATTCGAGTGCCATTCCTGCGCATCTCTGATTAGAACAGTGGGTTCGGGTTAATCACAACAGAGGTGTAAGAGTCTTTATCGACTAGTGATTCATAATATGACGAAAACTATCTTGATAGTAAAACCACACTTCATGGCTCGAAAAGGAGTAAATTTTATAGCTAGTGGTGGAAAAATACACCTTGGTACGTAGTATCATAATTATCATATCATCACCACTTGACCTTTTACCCCTCGGGGTAACACATGACAGTTATAACTGTCACTATTGATGTCATTTCAGACAAGTATAAGTACTAACAAATGACACAGTAGTGTTACATAATCCATAAGTGAATTAAAGTCCACACACCCGCACTGTATCTGGGAAATACAGACAAAACGATGAACATACCTCATTAGCTGCGGTTTTCGACGTAAATAACGATTTTTCAGGAATATTCGCGAGATTCACGAAGTGGGCGACATCTAGGTTACATATTACGAACTTCAAACTGGGAGAAAAACAAACTGTTGTCTATGGATTGATATATTACGCTTACCCAGCGCTTACACCTTTTCCAGTTGTATATCATCAGAAAGCGTCAATTTGGTTTCAGAAAGTGTCATTCGTATTTCAGAAAAGTCACTGGTATTTCATAGAAACCACTTGAATTTCAGAAAACATCAATTGTAGTTTAGAATAGTCACTTGTATTCCAGAAAGCGTCAATTGTACTTCAGAATAGTCAATTCAATTTTAGAACGCGTCAATTGTATTTCAGAATAGTCAATTGGATTCCAGGAAGCGTCCATCGTATCTCAATTGATATTTCATGACATACAAATGACACTTCCTGAAATTCAATTGACTATTCTGAAAAACAATTAACGCTTTCTCAAATTGAATTGACAATACTGAAATATAATTAGAGCTTTCTGAAATATAAGTGACTATTCTGAAATAAAATTGACGCTTTCTGAAATTCAATCGATTATTCTGAAAATCAATAGACGCTTTTCGAAATTGAATTGACCATTCTGATATATAATTGACGCCTTCTGAAATACAAGTGACTATTCTGAAATAAAATCGACGCTTCCTTAAATTCAATTGACTGTTCTGAAATACATCAATCGACGCTTTCTGAAATACAACTGGAGAAGGTGTAGTATGATGAATAGGAATAAAACAAGTAAGCGAAATGACATGTTTGTGTCTAACTATTATTTATTCACTGGCGACTATGGTAGCTGAGGCAATAAAGACCCAAGTTGTAATAAGGTCCACATTCGAAATGTGGCTCTACAAAGGTTCGGAATGCAGCTCAGACTTTCACGAACGCCCAAATATTGCCAGAAGTTGCCAGAAGTGAAGATTTTACTGTGAGTAGTTCAGCCGCCTGAATTTATAATTTGAATTCAAGCGAAACGGTGCACTTTGTTGTCTCATTTTTTTCGAGATATGTATATGAAGCAACTCGTTGAATTTGAACAATTATATCTTATAGTTCAGAATTGCAGTCCACTCGAATTTATCGGGAGCCTTATTACCATACCCCAATTTATTCATCCTTTTCAAAAATCCAATTGAAATTTCTCCGAATCGAGCTACATGGACAGAAGAAATCCTACCTATACATACATCCATGGCAGTAGTAGAAACGGCACAATTGATATGGCCAAATAATCTAAACTTTCTGGATAACATATTCTCGTTGATTATTTCGGTTGAACGTTATTTAAATAATGAACCTGAAGTTCATTTCAGAAAAATAATGTTGTCTGTTTAATGAGTCGAAATGTTATCTGAACTTCATTACTTCCTGGTGGGTAAAAAGACCAATTCTCTGATTTTTGTTGCAAATGTTATATTATTACAGATTCTGTTGATTGGTAAATTGGTTACATGTTGAGAGGAAAACATCCAGGTGCTCGGTATTTAAAAATATTCAAGTTCATTTTTAGAGGTTCTTATTATCATATACAGTGTTTCAATAAGGCCCATACGAATAGTGTTTGAAAAAACGTAACTTTCAATAAATTATCGAATTTGTGATACTTTTTCTACTTTTTGATCAGCTAAAATGAATAAACTCGATCAAAATACTGGATTTTGTCTTGTCTTTCTAAATCTCCAAATATACGATTCATTCGATTTATTTGTAATTGGATTAAAAATAAGAACTTAATTCGAATGAGTATCACTAAGCCAAATACTGGATATTAATTCATTTACGTTTGTCACGTGTGCCATGAATAGCCATCAAGAATAATATTTTGGAGGTATTTTTCATCGACTCTTTTTCGGAATACGAAGCAGTCACTTGAGCGATGACAAGCTTTATGAGCAGAAAGTAAAAACTTCTTCATTATGTGCAATATTCAAAGTGATTCTAGAATAATGTAGCAGGCGTCAAAACTTTTGAGAATACCATAATCTGATCATGAATTATATTGTAACATTATTGAATTTTTCAAGACAACTCTGGATCAGAAGGTGGCATCTGCAGAAGTTTTGACGCCTACTTAATTTTTCTAGTCACTCTGAATATTGCACAAAACTAAGGAAATTTTCCTTTTTGCTAATGAAGCTCATGTCACTGTCGTTACTCAAGAGAGTGTTTCGTTTTCCAAAGAATAATACTTGATGAGATTAACTGCAAAATATTATGCATCATGATTATCA